CAGTCAATATCGTCACACTTAACAGTCAATAAAGAGCACCGTACCTTACAGTGGATGGAGGGACGACAAGTGCATGCTTTTGCATTGTAGAGGGATGACAGGTAGAGTTAATTGATAGTAGAGGGACGACATAAAGCCAATCCATAGTAGAAGGTTTAGAATGCACTATTTTGGATAGTAGAGGGACGATAGATGGCCTTAACCCTACCATATACTTGACTGCTTTTCGTTGCGAAAGCCAAAAACAAGATCCATAAAAAATGGATTCCTTCACATGGCTTCTACAACAACTCCTTTAACATTTATTCGAAGTCCTACGGAAGGTAAATCATCATGGAAAGGTCATTCTCGTGTCCTTTTGAAGAAATAATTCTTAATCCAAACCAGCCAATGATCAAGAAGTATATATGAAGTATTTTTAGGGAAGGCATTAATATGGATTTAATTAATGGAGAGTGGAAGAACTAGCCTATGTATGACAGAATGGGATCATTGACGTAATCCCACACCTTGATTCTAGCATAGAAAAAACCCTTCTTTAAGCTCCTCGTCAATTTTTTCAACAATATGCGGTCAACTATTGAATTAAATGAAGAGTTATGTGGTCTAATGAATGAATTACGTTACTTTAACAGTAACAAATAGAGTTTACTCAAATTCGACTCTGATATTAAATTAAAAATAGATACTAACTCTTAACAAATGTTTTTTTGGTTAAAAAAAAAAAAAGGGAAGAGAGAAAGAAAAAAGGAGACGACAATTTGCGTAACTGCCTTCACCAGTCACAACACGCAAGTAGTTCTTTCATGCGTGGGTAGAACAGAACAAAGGGACTATATATAACTGTAGCAAGAGCCTTGGTTTCTGCACAAAATTTCAAAGTCTGCTTCTTTTATCTGTGTTAAACCATGGCTTTTGCTTCTCCATATTCTTTCCATCTCATTCTACTTCTTGTACTGCTAGTTTCTGTTGTAGCTCAAACATACCAGAATATAACATTGAGCTCCTCATTAACTGCAGCACTTGATAAAAACGATTCCTGGAAATCTCCATTTGGAGATTTCGCATTTGGATTCCAACAGGTAGAAGCTGGAATGTTCTTGCTAGCCATATGGTTTGACAAAATACCTGAAAAAACCATTATTTGGTCGGCCAATGGTGGAAATCTGGTGCAACTAGGCTCCATAATTCAACTTACAACATATGGCCTCAGTGACGAAAAAGGAATGCAAGTATGGGCTCCAGTGGATGTTACTGGTACTGTTTCTTACGGGGCTATGCTTGACACAGGAAATTTTGTGTTGGCAAGCAAGAACTCAACCAACTTGTGGGAGAGTTTCAATCATCCAACTGACACATTTGTGCCCACACAAATATTGAACACCAACAGCAAACTTGTAGCCCGTTATGCACGGACGAATTATTCAAGTGGAAGATTTCATTTATCGATGCAAGCGGATGGAAATCTTGTACTCTACACAAGTGTGGATCCACAAAGGGAGAGTTATTGGGCAACCAATACCGGCAACGGTTTCCAATTTATCTTCAACCAGTCTGGCAATATCTACCTAGCAGATAAAAATGGAAGCATACGGTTCAGCCTTCCAGAATCAGAAAATGCTTCATCTGGGGACTACTACCAGCGAGCAATCCTTGAATATGATGGGGTCTTCAGGCATTATGTATATCCAAAGAACAGTAGTGTTACTGCCGCAGGGCACACCACCTGGTCCTTTGTGTCCCATGTCCCAGACAATATTTGCAAGAACATCACACAGAACACAGTTAATGGGGCTTGCGGGTTCAACAGCTACTGTTCTATAGGAAATGATCAGAGACCTAAATGCCAGTGCCCGCCTGGATACGTTTACTTGGATCGAGATAATGCCATGAAAGGATGCAAACAGGGTTTTGTCCCACAAACGTGCGATGAAGGGCAAGAAGCAGAACATTTAGATGTCCAGGAGGTGATCAATGTGGATTGGCCTGAGTCAGATTATGAACATATTGACTCTATTACTGA